AGGACACAGCAATCCCAAGACTTGGCTGTGCCCTACATAGAGACAAGTTCTGCCTGCAGAGGGCTGACCCTGCAGGCAGTATCTGCCCATGTTCTTCCCATTTCAGCTGAGACTCTGGTCTCTGACTCTATGCTGGGGAGATACTGGATGTCACCATTTCTGATTTTTCTCTTCCTACTCCCACACCCTTTACACACTTCATTGAACATGTCGGTCAGCAGCTGCCACGTTTATCTGAAGATAGATGTCCACAGAGATGAAGATTTGGAGCTGGGTGGGTTCCTCCCACTTTACTACATGGAATTAGAATGTGAGATGATCCAATTATCTTTTACAGTCAAGCCACGGCATATAGTGTCAGCATCTCAGTAAGTTCAAGGTTGTGACTGAGTGTGAGTACATGCTTGTGCCCGTGTGTGTCCTATCCTTATTGGCAATTTTGAGAAGTATACAGAGAAGTGTCAGAAATGCAGTCCAGTGAAAGTTGAGTTCTCTTCAATTCTTTTCCCTTCCACAGCAGTCATTTCCTTTTTTCTGTTTGCCCCCCTGGTCCCTCAGAACAGAAGAGAGGTGTCAACATATTTAAACCTACCAATTTGGACACATCCCTCTGATCCAACCTTTGGGGTATTGGAATGGTTAAGACTGTTGGGACCCACAGATGAGTCCTGCTGGAGTCCATGGAGATGGTTCAAGTTGTCCTGATACACTGATAACCAGGCATAAGGTCATGGTTAGTTCCCAAGAGGCTCAAGCTGGATATCACAGTCAACAAGGGCATAGTTGAGATGTGCCTGAACTAGAAACCATGAAACCCTGAGAACCACCACTCTAAATGGACTCTGTCCCACCATCAATCAATAACTCAGTTCTACCAGAGAGGAAGCGTTGGTGTTCCTGATCATCAAAATAAAAAGGGAAATAAATCATGTTTCCTAACGAGTCAATGTTTTTTTCACTAGGATGCTGATGGTTCTTTTCCAGGAACAATACAGAAACTGCATGAATTCTGGGATTTGCACACCTCATTTGTGCATGCTTCTAGTAACTGGGTTGCTACTTTGCTGCTTAACAAGGGGGTTTAACACCTTGTTGGTCACAACAGTGGTGCAAGCTTCTCAGACATTTAAGAGATCCACATGCTCATGTGTTCAGAACAGGGTGAGGAACACAAGTTGTTTAATTGGAGTCAGTCTGTCCTTGTGAGTTTCTTTTGGAATTTAACACCTGTCCCCACAGCAGGTCACCTTGCATAAGAGGGAGCTCATGGTGGGTCTCCTCACTTTGGGGGCAGAATTGCAGCCTTGCAATTTGCCTAACCTGTGCCTTCACATAACCTATCCCTCTCACTGTTTCATTTTGGTGTCCTAATCTCTTTTAGTGACTCCATTTCTAGCCAAAACTTGAATGAGACATTTTTGTGGGAGGTCGTTCATGTGTGTGAATTTCTTGGTTAAGTGACAGTTATGACTGTGCATTGAGTGACAGATGTGGAGGTGGAATGTGATCTGAAGATGAAGGAATCCCTACCTTCAGAGTGAGAGCCTTTATTCCAGGTACCAAAGCTGGAGGTGCACTCTGCCTTCTGTCCTGCAGCTAGGGAAGTATCTCTCCACCCTCATTCTGTGCATAAGGGGCCAGCCATCATGTGCTTGTCACATCCTAGAATCTTCGATGCCTAGACCTGGGTAATCTAAAATGGGCAGCAGTTTTCAGTTCTGTCTTGATATCTCATTAAGAATATTTCAAAATTATTTAAAGATTTAACACAAAATAAAATTTTATGTAATTAATTAGAACAAAAGAATCACGGGAAAAAACTAAGTGATTTAATGCACTAAGATTGTTATTTATTAACAAGGAAGCATTTTTATGTTCAAATTATGGAGGAAACTTGAGTAGTCAGAAAAGAAGAGAATAATGCCAATGGAAGAAGAAAAAAATGAGAAAATGACACTAATTCCCATATAGAAATGATATGTGGGAGTTATTTTATTTTTTTGGACAGGCAGAGTTAGACAGTGAGAGAGAGAGAGACAGAGAGAAAGGTCTTCCTTTGGGTTCAACCCCCAAATGGCCGCTATGGCAGCCGTACTGTGCTGATCTGAAGCCAAGAGCCAGGTGCTTTCTTCCGGTCTCCCATGCAGGTTCAGGGCCCAAGCACTTGGGCCATCCTCCACTGCCTTCCTGGGCCACAACAGAGAGCTAGACTGGAAGAGGAGCAACTGGGACAGAATCTGGCGCCCCAACCGGGACTAGAACCCAATGTGCCGGCACCACAGGCAGAGGATTAGCGTAGTGAGCCACGGTGCTGCCAGTGGGAGTTATTTTTAAATTCCAAGAACTAATTTAGATGGCTAAGCTACTTATAAACAGCAGAAAATATTCAGGTGCAAAATGTAAATGAAGAGAGGATAATTCATTACCAACACTGAAAATAAAGACACTTGAGGGACTAGCTTGGATTCTATCACAATAAGACATAAGTCCTGAAGTGAATGCTCATCTTTCAAAGAAAATATATTTTAACAAAGCTGCTTTCATAAGGGTTGACATATTAGAGTGGAAAATATACAAAGGGCCCAAAAATTTCCTCAGGTGAATATGGATAAGGAGACAAATGCATCCCAAAGCTGGAAAAACTGGCAGGTCGGGTGGTTATTTAAAATATTCAAAACCTCATGGGAAACAGAAATGCCGGCAAGTTTGTGTCTGCCTCTGAGCAGAAACTGGATTGCACACTGGATGCACCAAGTCCTTTCCAGAAAAGTCCATGAGGCTATGTGTGTGCACAACTTTTTCACACCACTAGAGGGCAACATCTTGCTGTCTGGTCCATACATAGAGATGCACCCTACTATTTGTAGGACCTTCAAATATCTGTCCGGGAAACAGGGGTATTCTACTTCACCCCAGTTACAAAGCCTGAACATCCCTCACAGTGGTTTGGAAACACTTTGCTTCACAGGAGTCAAAGAGACATCCCCAGATCTTCCATGTCCCTGTTAATGTTACCTACCCTGGTTCCCTGTGCCAGGGCTGGCACATCACTAAGTGGCAGCCTGAGTCTGACTGAGGAGTTGTTCTGAATTCCATGGTCTGACCCTTCTCCCTGATGCTGCCCCTCTCTTTAGGTGGCTGTGGAAGAACTACCAATATGTGCTGGCCTTCCATTTTGCCATGCAGGAGATCAAAAAGGAATCTCAGCTACTCCCCAATCTGTCCTTGGGTTTCTATCTCTACAATTCCTTTGACAGTGATCAGTCTACCCTGTGGAGCACTCTACACTGGCTGACCAGAGAGCATCATTTCATCCCTTACTACACCTGCCAGACACAGAACAATTCAGTTGCCATAATTGCAGGGACCAAGTCTACATTTTTCAATGAGAGCAAAGAACCCTTTTGGAGCTCTACAAGATCCCCCAGATGAATAGGCCATGAATTCTGGAAAGAAATGTTGGAGCCTTTCCCACTTCTGGTGCTAGTGGAACGTGGATATTGACCTCACAGTCGCACAGTGATACAGAACAGATCCCAGGGGTTTTCCCGTGTTGTGAGACTATAAACAGGGGAAGGAGAAGGAAGAAAGGGAAGGAGAAGTGGAAGCTTAGAGCCTCCACCAGATTCCTGTGTAGAGCTATGCAGCCATCTTTCCACCGACCGGGAGTAGTGACAGCTGACTACTCACAGCCTTGTGCCTTACTGGAAATACCCACAGCACAGAAAACTTTCCTTTCTACTCTCTTAGGAGGTATCCAGAGGCCAATGGCTGTCAGATGGATGCAGTTATCAATCTGCTGAGCATTGAGTTCCATCTGAGACAAAACTGAGGGCCAGTTCTGAAGACCTCCAAGGAGCAATAAGGCTAATTCACAGTTGTGGTTCACCTGTGCTCTATGCCTTATTCTCAACAACCATAGTGGATCGTATCACAGATCTCCCAGTGAATGTTCATGCTTACAACTCTGTGTCTCATAGATTAAAAATTAAAATATAGCATTTGTATGGGATAAGAAGGAGAGGGAGGGTCAGAAGGAGGGAAAGGGGGATGGAGAGAGCATCTCTTCAAATTTGAATCAGCCCAAAAGATGGGAGCCAGGAACTCAATTCAGATCCAAATGGGTGGCAGGCACCTAACTACTGGAGCCATCACCTGCCGCCTCCCAGGTGTGCATTAGCAGGAAGGTAGAATCAGGAACCAGAGCCCAGAACCAGACCTAGAAACCTCCCTGTGGGACATTAGCATATGACCTAGTATCCTAAATGTTGGCTCCTCATATCAAGGATTATTATTCACAGAGGGCTACCCTTCACACTAGCAGCAATGATGTCATTACTGTCAAGTACATTAGCTGATATGAATTTTGTGCTTGAAAATTCATTTTGAAGAAAATCAGAGATGGTAAAGGATTGTCTTCTTTAAAACAACCTAAGTTATGCCCTGGTAATAAATAAGTTCCAAATTATCAAGAGATCCATGCAGTAAAGATTTATTTCTCTCTCAAATATTAAATTTCACGGAGGGTGGGATTTACTAGAGGTTGGAACTCTGCTCCAGAAATCACACAGGTCTCACTGCTACTAAGAGTATGTATGTGGCCGGCGCCATGGCTCACTAGGCTAATCCTCCGCCTTGCGGCACCGGCACACCCTGTTCTAGTCCCGGTCGGGGTGCCGGATTCTGTCCCGGTTGCCCCTCTTCCAGGCCAGCTCTCTGCTGTGGCCCAGGAGTGCAGTGGAGGATGGCCCAAGTACTTGGGCCCTGCACACCACGGGAGACCAGGATAAGTACCTGGCTTCTGCCATTGGATCAGCACGGTGAGCCAGCTGCAGCATGCCGGCCACAATGGCCATTGGAGGGTGAACCAACGGCAAAGGAAAACCTTTCTCTCTGTCTCTCTCTCTCACTGTCCACTCTGCCTGTCAAAAAAAAGAGTATGTATGTACCACTGATATAATATTATGACTAGGATTACCTTTTCATCTGCAAAGATACACATGCTCTATGGTGATGTCAAGAGTCTCATGACTGTGGACATAATGAGAGATTACTTTCTAACCCTGGGGAAGGTGTGGATTGTGGTAGCAAAGACAGATATTGTTGTGTATGAGACGAACCACATGCTGCACTCTTTCCATGGAGACTTCTCATTTTCACACCACAGAAGGGAAATCCCTGTCCTCAAACACTTTCTCAAGACAGTGACCCCCTCCAGGTACCAAGAAGACTTTTACTTCAATAAACTGTGGTTTCACATTTTTGGCTGTTTACCTGTTGGGTCCTTTTGTGGAAAAATTGGAGTCTGCCCTCTCAATACTTTCTTAGAGTTTCTTCCAGGAAATGTTGATATAATGACCATATCTGACACCAGCTACCTCATCTACAATGCTGTGCATTCATTAGCACATGCCCTCCATGAAATCCTTCTGGAGAAAACGGAAAAGACATCTTTACAGGCTGCCAACCAGACCCTGCTCCTTCTTAGGCAGGTAAGTCTCCTCAAAAAGCAGGGCTTTGAACACCTGATGATATACATAGGTGCTTTATTATGGTCAACATATGATGCTGTTTTCTTTACTTGATCAGTAAGATCTGTCAGAATGGAAGATGAGCTCCTTGACATGGGCTATTGGAAAGCCTGTAATTGCCTTCTTGTTGGGGATAATTCTACTGTTGAAAATCTCAAATTTGTTCCCTTAAATTAGGTATTATTTTGGAAAAGATAAATCATAATGTAGCATGAAAACTATGATATATTCTAACTCAAATCATGAGAAAACATGGTAATATTTAAAAAATCACATCTATATCTGTTTTTGGAATTTTATCAAAGTCAGAATACATGGACAGAATGACTACATCTGACAGCTGCTATTTAATCTAGAATGTTGTAGAGCAATCCTCCTTGAGACAGTTTTGGTGAAAAGTGAAATGGGTTCTAAGTTATATTTTAAAATGACTCTGAGAAATGAACTTGCATTAGCATAACTGCTATTACAAAATCTGCAACTATCAGGCAACAGGAACTGTGGGTCCATTGTTGAATATGAGACCACTCAGGATGCACCTAAGCATAAGATATTCCTCCTGAGGTACAGATAGATTTTTCATCCTAGCTTCTCTGGATCCATTCCCTGTATACAGAATATGTTTATTAGCCCTTGTTTGAATGTACCAGGCATAAATGAATTAATCAAATTTGTTGAATAAATTAAATAAACCTAATATCTAGGAAAGCTAAATATGTATATTTAGAAGTTAATAATTATACCTTTCCTCCAGCTTCATCCAATCCGGAAGAAAATCGAGTTTATCAATAGTGCTGGGGATGATGTATCTCCATGAATCAAGACACCATATGGCACACTATGATATCCACAACATTGTGAATTTTCCTGTGGTTCTTGGGTTGATGATTAAAATTGCAGAGTTTTCCTCCAAGAGTGCACATGTTTATGTGCCCTTGTTTGAATGTTCCTTGGATAAATAAATTAATCTAATTTGTTGAATAAATTAAATAAACCTAATATCTAGGAAAAGGTAAATATGCAGATATAGAAAATAATAATTAACTTTCCTCCAGCTTCATAAATTCCTGAAGAACATCCAGGTTGTTTTAAAGATTTATTTGTTTATTTGAAAGTCAGAGTTACACAGAGAGAGGAGAGGCAGAGAGAGAGAGAGAGAGAGATATGTCTTCCATTTGATAATTCACTCCCCAATTGGCCACAACAGCCAGAGCTATGCCAATCCAAATCAAAGATCCAGGAGCTTCTTTTGGGTCTCCTGTGTGGGTGCAGGGGCCCAAGGAATTGGGCCATCTTCCACTGCTTTCTCAAGCCAAAGCAGAGAGCTGGATAGTAAGTGGAGCAGCCAGGTCTCAAACTGGCAGCCATATGGAATGCCGGTACTTCAGGCCAAGGTGTTAACCTGCTGTGCCACAGCACCAGCCCAGAAAATACAGTTTACCAATAGTTCTGCACATGATATATCCTTCCATGAATCAAGACACCATACGGTGCACTATGATATCCATAACATTGTGAATTTTCCTGTGGGTCTTGGGTTGATGGTTAAAATTGCAGAGTTTTCCTAGAAGAGTGCACTGACCAATGCTTGGTCCTCAATGAAGAAATGATATATTGGCCTACTGACTTCAAGGAGGTGTGCTTCCATTTCAATAGGGTTACACACAGATGGACCTGATATCCTTCTGAGACGAGATTGTGAACCTCTGAAATAAATATTAAACTTCAATTTCACTTCTTGACTACACATAATGTAGTCTTTCTTACACATTTTCTATGTTGATGTCTATAGAAAATGAAAGTTTATAGAAGTCATCATACTCTTAGATTGAGCATATTTGTTCCTATAGCACTTGAGTGAATAAGATAAATGCAGCTAATGGATATGTTTTTCTTTTTATAGTGAAATGTACACGGTGTTGACATTACCTGTAGCTACCTGACTGTGCCATAGAACTCCAGAACATCTAACTGACAATATTAGGCTGTTTTGATTTTAGTTTCTCTGTAGTATATCTTGAAATGTGATATTGTGGGGCCTTCAGCTTAATTTTTATTGTTCAGTATTTCTTTAGCTATTTGAGTCTCTTGTGTTTCCCTCTAAATTTTAAGATTTATTTATTCGAAAGGCAGAGTTACAGAGAGAGATGGAGAGACAGAGAGAGGAGGAGAAAGAATCCATCTGCTGTTTCACACCCCAGATGGCCACAATTTTGCTCAACAGGGAAATATGAAGAATTTCAAACAAAGAAACATGGAGTCTTTTGCCCCTTCAGATGCAGAACAGTGCATCCATGTGCAGATCACGAGTACTCAAACCAGGCGAGAAGTCACTGCCTCCCCAGGCTGGTGATCTTCTTAGCCTTTGAGGAATACCTGGGGATGTCTCTGGCCTGCATGGCTCTGTGCTTCTCAAAACAGTGACCATTTCCACCATGCTGGCCAACACCATCTCTGTGATTCTGGTCTTCTGAAAACCTGGAAGAACAATGAGGTGATTGCTGGTATCAGCTTTTAACTTCATCATTCCCATCTGCTCCTTGATCCAACTGGCTCTATGTGGCATCTGGTTGCGAACCTCTCCTCCATTTATTGAGTTAGATGCACACTCTGAGCAGGGTGCCTGGCTATTTGAAAGAATTATTAAGGGATTTAAAGGGAGATATAGACTCAAATACAATAATAGCAGGGGACTTCAATACCCCACTTTCAGCAATGGACAGATCAAGCAGACAGAAAACCAACAAGAAAACAACAGAGATAATTGACACTATATGCCAAATAGACCCAGTAGATATCTACAGAGCCTTCTACCCCACAGATACAGAGTGTGCATATTTCTGCCTGGTGCACAGAACTCTCTCTATGATAGACCATCTGCTAAGTCATAAAGGTAGCCTCAGCATATTCAAAAAAGTGAAATTATACCATGCATCTTCTCAGACCACAATGCAATGAAGCTCAAAATCAACAACTCAAGAACCTCTGTATCATATGCAAACATGGAGAATGAACAACATGATTCTGAATGAACAGTGTGCCATAGAAGAAATCAAAAAATCTCTAAAAACAAATGAAAATGACAACACAACCTATCAAAATTTATGGGATACAGCAAAAGGAGTATTAAGAGGAAAGCTTATCAGAGAACTCTAAGATGGTGGAATAGGGAGGAAGCACACTGATAGTCCCAGAAAAGATAGTTTAATAAAGTGGAGATACTATAGTCTCAGGGAAGAGTTAGGGAATAAACTGAGAGGAAATTCTTCCAGAACTAGTGGGACACGGTGGACCTACATGGAGGGCACAGGCACCCAGGGCTTGGGACCCCAGCCACCTCATCTATGCACCAGCACTGGAAAGGGAGATGAGGCGAAACCACAGTAGCCTGAGACACTGGCAGAAAAGCAGCAGGAAGTGCCTAGAGGGGAGGAGGCTTGAAGCACCATGGGGGAAAGTTCACCAGCCTAACTAGAGGAAAGAAAATAAATAAATAAAAGGGACAAGTACAGACACGATTCTCTCTCTCCACTCACCTTACAAAGGTGGGGGAAAAATACAGCTGGCACCATTTTGGACATACATAAAAGCTGTGCCAGCTCAGGGCTGTGCCCACCCTCAGCCAAGCAGAAAAACCTGACTCTGGTGGGGAGAAATGACAGGAGACTAAGATCCAGTGACTATGTGGAGCTTATGAACTGGGACTGTGAAAAAAAAAAAAAAAAACTGAGGGTGTGTGGGAGAATTCACAGTGTCCCTGAGATGTGAGTACTCTCAGTGGGAGAAGCCAAAAACTCAGTAACCTCGGCAACCCGGTGGGAGACATTGCAGGGGAATCTGATTACACTGAGGACTGCACAGATCCTTTGTGAGGTTTTTGGGACAGAGCAGATGAATATTATACCCGCTGGAGCTAGCGCTCAAGTATTGATTGTCATCAACGAGAAGAGCTAAGCTGAGCAGAATTATTTCCCTTCTGAAATAAAGAGAGAGAGAGAGAGAGAGAGAGAGAGAGAGAGAGAGAGAGAGAGAGAAGATTTACCATGCCAAACATGGGTGTGTCACATTTTCCACACCTTTAACCCTGAAGAACTGAACAGAACTCTCTGGCCACACCTACCACAAGCCTCTAGAGATTCACCAAAAGCAGACAGTCCACTTAATCTAGAGTCATAGTATAACCAGAAAAGCCACCACGGCGAGGGAAAAAAAGAAGAAACCAAAGAATATTTATACAATGCCAAAAAACAAATGCAGAAACAGAGGAAACAAGAACAAGGAAGACATTATGATGCTCCCAAATGGACATGAAACTCCAATACAAGATTATGAAGACGATGAGATAGAAGAAATGCAAGATACAAATTTCAAAAAATTTATGATAAGAACATATAGAAGTTATCAAAAAGAAATGCATGAACTACCGAAATCCATACTGGAAGTACAGAAAAATCTCTCTCCTGAAAATGAAATCTTAAGGAGGAATCAAAATGAAATGAGGAATTTAATAGAACATGAAATTGAGATATTGAAGAGACATCAAAATGAAATGAAGAATTCAATAGAACAAATGACAAACACATTGGAGAGCATTAAAAACAGAATCAGTGAGATAGAAGAGAGAATATCAGACTTAGAAGACAGAGCACAGGAAAGTATACAGCCAAACCAAAGACAAGAAGAGTAATTAGAAATCTAAAAAATATTGTTGGGAATCTACAGGATACTATTAAAAAACCCAACATTCGGATTCTTGGAGTTCCTGAAGCATGGAGAGAGAAACTATTAGAAGGCCATTTTAGTAAAATACTGTACTTACAGTATGGACTTCTGTAGTTCATGCATTTGTTTTTGATAACTTCAAGATGTTCTATTTTAATTTTTTTAAAATTCGTATCTTGCATTTCTTCTATCTCATCGTCTTCATAATCTTGTTCATTTAGGAATGTCATGATGTTTTC